GAACTTCACATCTCCGTGCTTGCTCCCGCCCAAGAGGCTGAGCCCACTTGGCTAATACCAAGCTGCACTATAAAAGGTGCTCACCCTTCTGCCAGCTGCCGCTGTGGGATAATGCTACGGCAGCTGGGCTAAGAGAAGTGTCGCACACAGTCTCGTTTACCAGAGGGGGACACCCAGGGGAGACACTTCACCTCCGAATTCACAGGTACCATCTCCTGCTGAGGAGCTCCCCTGCTCGGCCACGCCCGTGCACCGTGGGTGAGATGAGCTAGAGGATAAGTCTGTTTCCCTTTGCGCTCTGCACAGACATTCCACATCCCCGAGCTCTTGCCACAGGGCACGAGTTTCTGTTTTTCACTTCCTGTCCCAGCTGACGGGCTCCAGCTCAGAGGGAGCACCATGCCAGAGGCACGGTGGATGCAAGATGTTATGAGATGTGAACAAGAAGGCCACATTCAGAAGCTCTTGCACATACTTTCCCCGGGAAACACAGAAGCAAAGCTCCCTTTGGGGTAAGAACTGAGGAAAGCACGCAGGAGCCAGCTGTGTGTATATGCACAGACACAGTCACCTCCTCCCCTCGCATCTCAGGGCTCTGGCTGCTAACGGGATGGGGGCTGCATTCTGCAGGACAGTGCCCTAGTCTGTGGGTCTGCATTCCCTCTTCCAGAGGACAGCTTTCCATTTGACTGTGTTAACACACGGCAGCTGCTCTTCCCGTCTTTGGGTCACCCACAGATTTTATCCGGAGAATTTTTTTCTCTGCGTCTGGATCATTGATGCTGATATTAAACAGCTTTGGGCCTAACACAGTCTCCTGCAGAATACCACTGGGAAGACATGCAACCGCTGCCAGTGGTCCACAGAGATCTGCTCTCTGAGACCCCGGCACTTTGCCAGTTCCTAGTGCATTGAACGCGGGCTCTTCTCATATTGCAGAATGCTCATGTTTTAACCTGAACATGTTCCCCTAGGAAATCAAATTCCTTTGATCCACCACAAATACTTTCCTTGAAGCATAAAACTGGTTTTGTGTGACAAGACCCGTTTTCCAAAATGCATGTCGCGGAACAGGCATTAATGATATCACTAGACTTTTTGTAGCTAATCCTATACCAGGTTTTCCATTCTTCCCTCAAGCTCTGTCTACACCATCCCTGACAGATGTCTATCTAACCTGTTCTTAAATATCTCCAGAGAGGGAGATTCCACCACCTCCCTTGGCAATTTATTCCAATATTTGACCACCCTGACAGTTAGGAATTTTTTCCTAATGTCCAATCTAAACCTCCCCTGCTGCACTTTAAGCCCATTACTCCTTGTCCTGTCCTCAGAAACCAAGAGGAACAAATTTTCTCCTTCCTCCTTGTGACACCCTTTTAGATATTTGAAAACCGCTATCATGTCCCCCCTTAATCTTCTTTTTTCCAAACTAAACAAGCCCAGTTCATGAAGCCTGGCTTCATAGGTCATGTTCTCTAGACCTTTAATCATTCTTGTTGCTCTTCTCTGTACCCTTTCCAATTTCTCCACATCTTTCTTGAAATGTGGCGCCCAGAACTGGACACAGTACTCCAGCTGAGGCCTAACTAGTGCAGAGTAGAGCGGCAGAATGACTTCACGAGTTTTGCTTACAACACACCTGTTGATACAACCTAGAATCATATTTGCTTTTTTTGCAACAGCATCACACTGTTGACTCATATTCAACTTGTGGTCCACTATGACCCCTAGATCCCTTTCTGCCATGCTCCTTCCTAGACAGTCGCTTCCCATCTTGTATGTATGGAACTGATTGTTCCTTCCTAAGTGGAGCACTTTGCATTTCTCTTTATTAAACCTCATCCTGTTTACCTCTGACCATTTCTCTAACTTGCTAAGGTCATTTTGAATTATGTCCCTATCCTCCAAAGAAGTTGCAACCCCACCCAGTTTGGTATCATCTGCAAACTTAATAAGCGTACTCTCTATCCCAATATCTACATCATTGATGAAGATATTGAACAGTATGGGTCCCAAAACAGACCCTTGAGGAACTCCACTTGTTATCCCTTTCCAGCAGGATTTAGAACCGTTAACAACAACTCTCTGACTACGGTTATCCAGCCAATTATGCACCCACCTTATCGTGGCCCTATCTAAGTTATATTTGCCTAGTTTATCAATAAGAATATCATGCGAGACCGTATCAAATGCCTTACTAAAGTCTAGGTATATGACATCCACCGCTTCTCCCTTATCCACAAGGCTCGTTATCTTATCAAAGAAAGCTATCAGATTAGTTTGGCATGACTTGTTCTTCACAAACCCATGCTGGCTATTCCCTATCACTTTATTACCTTCCAAGTGTTTGCATAGGATTTCCTTAATTACCTGCTCCATTATCTTCCCTGGGACAGACGTTAAACTGACCGGTCTGTAGTTTCCTGGGTTGTTCTTATTCCCCTTTTTATAGATGGGCACAATATTTGCCCTTTTCCAGTCTTCTGGAATTTCCCCTGTCTGCCATGATTTTTCAAAGATCATAGCTAAAGGCTCAGATACCTCCTCTATCAGCTCCTTGAGTATCCTGGGATGCATTTCATCAGGACCTGGTGACTTGCTGACATCTAACTTTCCTACGTGATTTTTAACTTGTTCTTTGTGTATCCTATCTTCTAAACTTACCTTTTCTCTGCTTGTATTCAGTATGTTATGCACACCTTTTTTTATTTTGAGATCATGCAAGATCTCCTTGTTAAGCCAAGCTGGTCTTTTGCCATATTTTCTATCTTTCCTACACAGCGGAATTGTTTGCTTTTGGGCCCTTAACAACGTCCCTTTGAAATACTTCCAACTCTCCTCAGTTGTTTTTCCCTTCAGTCTTGCTTCCCATGGGACCTTACCCACAAGTTCTCTGAGCTTATCAAAATCTGCCTTCCTGAAATCCATTACCTCAATTATGCTGGTCTCCCTTCTACCTTTCCTTAAGATCATGAACTCTATTATTTCATGATCACTGTCCCCTATACTGTCTTCCACTTTCAAGTTCTCAACTAGTTCCTCCCTATTTGTTAAAACCAAATCCAGAACAGCTTCTCCTCTGGTAGCTTTTTCAACCTTCTTCCTTCCATCTGTGAAATCTTTTACCTAAACTTTCCCTTTATTTTTAATAGCGTGTCTTTAAGACAAAACTGTCCAGAATTTAGGTTTTTTGTTTGTTTCTGTTGTTTTTGCTCTACTCAGTTAGTAAATCTGGGGTTTGTAGATCTAAGGTTCAACTGGAGATGCCCTTGAGTACTAACCGACTGGAAAGTGTTGCATCGCCTTAAGTGATATGAGTACACCAGGTTGCTTCTCTCCAAATGTGAAATAAAGATGTTTCTTGGGAACATCTATGTTTTCTGTAGCTTCAGGGGGTAGCCAAGTTAGTCTGTTACAGAAGAAAACAGCAAGCAAATGGCCTGGTAGCACTTTATAGACTAACAAAACATGTATCATGAGCTTTCAAGGGCACACCGGTCATCTGAAGAAGTGATATGTTTTCTGTAACATTCACAATGTTCCTTTCTCCCTCTAGGACTGGACAGAAACCTTTGCTTGGATTTTGTTCATCATTAATACACTTAATAACCTTTTTTCTGTGGTCCTGAGCTCTGCCAAACATGGAATTGCCCCAATGTCTTTAATCTCCAGTCGGACTTTTCCTAACTTAGCAATTGTGTAGCTATCTCTTCCCTTTCTCCCGTGTGTTGTATATTGCTGGTTTTGCCCCACCTCCAGCACCTGCCTTCTTGTTGCCAGCAAACTGGGTCTTTGCCTCAAGTTAATTTTAGCTATCTAATAGTTTCTTTTTAAGGGACTCTCATTTTCCGGTCCATCTTTTACCTTCCAATGAGTTCTGCTGATAATTTGTCTCAGCTTTGGGGAGTTAGCTCCTCTGAAGTGTTAGGTGTCTACACCTCCCCCATTCTCACAGCCTTGCTGGGAATTCATATTTGTATCTCCTCGGTCCAGTATAGAGACTGGGTACCAAAACCGAGGACGTGCCGAGAGCAGGACAATTTCCACCCTGTTGGCTGAATGGAGCTACAATAATGACAGGTATTTTTTCGGAGATGTATTCTGGTTGGGATGTTTCCACCTGGCACGTGTCTTAGCAAAAGGTCAGATTTTCCCTATCTCACATTTTGAGCAAGTGGGTGATGAGGAAGCTCCCTATGGCATGCACTCACTGCTAGAATCTCATTGCGAAAAGAAACCATGAGGGATAAGGGATATCCACATGTGTGTTTCCTGCTGGTTCGTGTTAAGGTCTCCCAAACCACAAGGTGTAGGAATTCTTCACTCATGGGGCACCATCACATATGGAACCTGCATGATTCACGGCAGGTCAGAGCTGCTTTTTCTGAATAATAAAAATGTCATTTAAAGTGTTTGAAAAGTCACCAATCTGCTTCCTCCATGAGTACGTCTAGACTATATACCTCTCCCGGCAGAGGCATGTAAATTAGACTACCCGACATAGTCAATGAAGCGGGGATTTAAATCAGTCAAGACGGCAGTCAAGACGTAGATCGGTTGGCAAGGAAAAGCCTTTGCTGACCGATCCTGTAAACCTCGTTTCACAAGGCATAAGGGATCGGTCGGCAAAGGTTTTCCTCATCGACTGATCTGCATCTTGATTGCTGCGCTGTGCCAATGATCAGCTGAGCCGGCACAGCGTGGTGGCCGTTTTTATGTTAATGAAGCTGAAGATATTTAAATCCCCTCTTCATTGACTATGTCAGGTAGTCTAATTTACATGCCTCTGCGGGCAGAGGCATGAAGTCTACACATACCCCACGAGACCAGCCTCCAGTACCAAATATATTGTCTCATATAAATATTGTATCTGCATCCAGGTATCTCTACTACAGCCACCACCCTGGTCTCTGGACAGATTAGGAACTCAAAATACTTTACGGTTCTTACAGGAGACGCCGTTCTGCCTCACGTTTGGACACCTTCCTCCCTACTCCATGTCAGATTTCAACACAACCAAATTCACCAACCCCTCCACCCTCATCCTGCTGGGCATCCCTGGCCTGGAGGTGGCCCATGTCTGGCTTTCCATCCCCTTCTGTGCGATGTACGCCATAGCCCTCTTGGGGAACTTCGCCATCCTACTCATTGTGAAGAAAGAGCCAACCCTCCATGAGCCCATGTACTATTTCCTCTGTATGCTGGCCGCCACTGACCTGGTCCTGTCCACGTCCACCCTGCCGAAAACACTGAGCATCTTCTGGTTCAATTCCAGGGAGATCGATTTCAGAGCCTGCCTCACCCAGATGTTCTTCATTCACTGCTTTTTTGGGGTGGAGTCTGGGATCTTCGTGGCCATGGCGTTGGATCGCTACGTGGCCATCTGCCATCCCCTGAGACATTCCACCATCCTCACAAACCGGGTGGTGGCTATAATTGGCCTGGCCGTATTGCTGCGCAGCAGCATGATTGTGCTGCCTCATCCCTTCCTAGCAAGGCTGTTGCCTTATTGCGGAAACAACATTTTCCCCCATTCATACTGCGAGTTCTTCGGCGTGGTGAAGCTGGCCTGTGGCGACATCCGGGTCAGTAGCTACTATGGCCTCTTTGTAACACTAACAAGGAACAGTCTAGATATGCTTTGTATCGCTGTGTCCTACACTCAAATCCTCAGGGCCATCTTCCGTCTCCCCACCAAGAACGCCCGGCTCAAGACTTTTGGGACCTGCAGCGCCCACCTCTGCGCCTTTTTAGTCTTTTACATCCCAGCTCTCTTCTCTACCCTCACACACCAGTTTGGCAAGAATGTGCCCCTGCATTTCCATATTCTGTTTGCCAACATGTGCCTCCTGGTGCCCCCCACGTTAAACCCCATCATCTATGGGGTGAGGACCAAACAGATCTGGGACAGAATGCTCTGGCTATTTACTCAAAAGAGAACCTAAAGTTTACTCCTTGTTCTCCTGCTCTCAGACGGAGCTGTGTGCCGACTGCCTGGTGACAGGGTGCCGGGCCCTCTTCCCTGCATCACTGACTAATCAGTCAACAAGACATTAAATCAGCCCTTGACACTACAACTCTAGGCGATGTTGGGGTGTGTAAGAGTTAAATAAGGAGTCTGCATAATCACTGACATAGTGATGGGGGTCCAGCATGGGCAGGCAATGTCCCTATGGATTTATTGACATGATTTACTGCCCGTTTTCCCTCCTGTAATACTTGTTTGGGATCGATAAGCACATAGTTGTGCCAAGGATGTAACTTCTAAGGAATATTCTTGGTCTGGAACTGTATATTATCTTCCTCCCCTCCCTCCGTCCCAAACACTCTGAAGCATAGATAGGGTCACAGCTCCTGCTTTTGACCCTTGTCAGGTGCTGATTCAAGACATTTGTAATGTGGAACTGCTTGCTTCAGTTCAAATGCTGTAACCAGTAAACTGAGGGGGAGGTGTATAATTATATTAATCGCATGATTATTTCTGCGCATTAGATGGGTGCTCACAGATTAAAGTAGGGCTGAAAGGGTGATGTAACAGATAAGTATATTTACATACTATAATAAAAAGCTGTACCCGTGGTTAATGTGTTGCTCACTCGGACCAAGCTTTGGGCAGTTAGGGTACGTCTAGACTACAGGCTTTTGTCGACAGAAGTTTTGTCGACAGTATCTGTCGACAAAACTTCTGTCGACAAAGAGCGTCTAGACACATTCAGTTCTGACGACAAAGCAAGCTGCTTTGTTGACAAAACCCTGTAGTCTAGACACAACCCTACATGCAATAACACCTTCTGTCGACAGAACTCTGTCGAAAAAAGGCGTTATGCCTCGTAAAATGAGGTTTACCAGTGTCGACAAAACTGCTGAGTTCTGTCGACGTTATGTCGACAGAACTCAGCGGTAGTGTAGACGCAGGTATAGTTTTGTCGACAAAAGTCCACTTTTGTCGACAAAACTCTGTAGTCTAGACACACCCTTAGAGACGGAACAAATATCTCCAGTAGAGATGCCCATTTACTCCTTCCGTCTGTGGATCACCTGTTCTTTTCTAGCAGGAGGATCCATCTTCGTACCACTCACCGGTTTGCCGCCTTTCTGCTAACTGGCCCTCCGACATCCCACACTCTGCCCCACTCTTCTTCCCAGACCCTTCCCTTGACTCACCTAGTTTAACAATGGGCAGAGTCCTTCACCTCTTTCACCATATCCACCCTCTCTCCTCTCCTACTTCTGTCACTCACTGGAGTGTCTCCATCTCCCTCCCTATTCCTGCTTCCTCCCTTCTTCTCCGGGGCTGGGACAGGAGCTGCTGTAACCTGACAGGGGTCCGGCCTAGTGCTGGGAGACAGTCCTGCTTTGCTGGACTGTTCAGTTGGATGGCTCAGCAGTGAACACAATGGGCCATGGAATAAACTTATTCCTACCTGTCGGACTTTCCCGGCAACGGGTGTTAATGGCCCAGCACCTGCTCCCCTCTGCAGTAACAGGATACTCACGAGTCCCCTTTTTGCCTGGATGTTCCACAACAACACCAGGTCCCTAGCAAACCTAGATGGTATCCAGACACAGACACCAAAAACCAGACTGTGTGGGGAAACCCACACAGGTGGAAACACAATTGCCTCACACTTTATTGTACACACCAGTGGGGTCCTTTCCTCTGGGCTTTTTCTGCACTCCTTCCTCATGCTTCTTCTGCTCAGGAGGAGGAGGCTGGGTCGAAGCGTCTCTCTATGACTAGGCTGTCATTAAAGACGAGGAGCAGCTAAGGAGATCTTGCTCAGATCAAGGATGGAAATAACAGCATTGTAGATCAAATCAGTTTTCTCTAATGCCTCTGCAGAGAGTGGGTGTAGAAGTAACGGCACCCCCACAAGAGGGAACAGAGGGAAAAGATATTAGTCCAGCATTTAAAATGACTGAAAATAGACAAGTCAGAAGAAGCTGGGGAAGGAAAGAGGTTGCAGGGTTATGTTAGCAGCAGAAATTCTCTGGTTGGAGAAGCAAAAAGTTGCAGTTGGTGGCGCTTGGACTCCTTAGATAACTTTGACCTAATTCAAAACAATGCCACAGGGTGGTGAGGACACTGAGGCAGGGACTGGTGTGCAGATGTTTTGTAATCACCTTGCCCCGACCATATCTTGTGGTGTCTAAGGAGAGGAGTTGATTTAGCTGCCTCTTTTACAAGTGCAGGATGGAGCTAAATGGCAGTGTAAGGCAGCTACATGCAGGATTGTGGCTATGATGGGGCGGTCATCTCCCCCTTTCCTTTCCCCACACTCCCATTGCCACAGACCTTGCATGATATGAGACAGTGAGAAGAGGTTAATGGGGTGGGATTTTCAAGGGAACCTGTGCAGGGCATTGTCAAAAGCAGAAAACCACTGCACTGGCACAGCCCCCGTCTCTCAGCTGTGGAGCCAGATTACACAAAGAATCATTATGGCAGTGGACGTCCTTAGCTGCAGTGGGTGACCAGGACACCTTCCCTGCCGGGCCAGGCTCCCCGTCCCCACAGCATGTGGTGGAGCTGTCTCCATGGCCATGGCATCACCAATGGCTTTCCCCCACCTAGGCCACCAGAACAGTCTTGCCAGGCTACAGAAGGTACTTTCCCACTCGTGCTGAGCGCAAAAGACCAGTTGGCTACCAAACCTGGCTGCCAAAGTGGTTTCCTCAGGTACGTGCTCTAGCCTTGAAGGCCGAGGCCCATGCTTCTAAGAGACTAGGGAGGACTGTGCATTGCAGCTGTCTCACACCCATCCAGGAGCCTGTGTAACCACCCATCCTCAGTGCTGTTCATTTGATAGTTAAGCTCCTTTGGGCAGGTACTTCATCTCCTCTGCTTGTGAAGGGTCCAGCATGAGGCCCCCTGACATGAAGCAGAGCCTCTGTAGGCGTTCATAATAGAAATAAGGATCATAAATGATACACACAGTAGCCTAGCAAAGTCAAGGCCTAGCCCCAATTTTGTCTTAAGCCACAGGTGAAGGTGAAGACACCTTCCAGCCAGAACAGCCCTGGAAAGTCTGACTCCACTTGGGACATGAAATTCCAATTGCCCTGGCTAGCACTGGGAGGAAATGGAACAGCAGACCAAGCCAACCCGATGCAAACACCAACCCAGGTTCCTTCCCACCTGTAGGGCCCCCCTTCTTCCAAGGCAGCCACAGGAAAGTTGTGTTGATGTTGCTTTTTCAAAGTCTATTTCCCCCCAAGCGACGCCAGGGACCGGAATGTGTTTGCAGGTCTCTGAGTGGGAGGGGGAGTTTAGTCCCAGAGTTCACACCTCACAGGACTGGGCAGTTCACAAACTCCAGGGCTGTGTCTACACTGGCCACTTATTCCGGAAAATCAGCCGCTTTCCTGGAATAACTTGCTAGCTGTCTACACTGGCCCCTTGAATTTCCGGAAAAGCACTGACGATCTAATGTAAGAAATCAGCCGCTTTTCCGGAAATACTATGCTGCTCCCGTTCGGGCAAAAGTCCTTTTTCCAGAAAACTGTTCCGGAAAAGGGCCAGTGTAGACAGCACAGTAGTGTTTTTCGCAAAAAAGCCCCGATCGCGAAAATGACTATCGGGGCTTTTTTCCAGAAAAGCGCATCTACATTGGCCATGGACACTTTTCCGGAAAAAGTGCTTTTCTGGAAAAGCATCCTGCCAATGTAGACGCGCTTTTTCCGTAAATACTTATAACGGAAAACTGTTCTGTTTTAAGCATTTCCGGAAAATCATGCCAGTGTAGATGTAGCCCAGCTGGCTCTGGAAACCTCAGATTCGCTTTGAGAGGATGGGTAAGGCTCCCTCTTCCCACCTTTCCTCTGCTCTCCACTCAATGAACAGGCCTTCCCTCAGCTTGGGTCTATTTCCCTCCTTGTGGGAAGGGCAGGCAATGGTAACGGCAGGGAAATCGGGACGCCTGGGTTCTGTCTGTTACTAAATCTGTGTGAGACCTTAGCCAGGAAACGTTTCCCGGGGCTCAGTTTGCCTGTCTGTGGGGAGATAGAATCAAAGAATCATAGAATAATAGGACTGGAAGGGACCTCAAGAGGTCATCGAGTCCAGCCCCCCGCCCTCAAGGCAGGACCAAGCTCCACCTACACCATCCCTGACAGATGTCTATCTAACCTGTTCTTAAATATCTCCAGAGAGGGAGATTCCACCACCTCCCTTGGCAATTTATTCCAATATTTGACCACCCTGACAGTTAGGAATTTTTTCCTAATGTCCAGTCTAAACCTCCCCTGCTGCACTTTAAGCCCATTGCTTCTTGTCCTGTCCTCAGAAACCAAGAGGAACAAATTTTCGCCTTCCTCCTTGTGACACCCTTTTAGATATTTGAAAACCGCTATCATGTCCCCCCTTAATCTTCTTTTTTCCAAACTAAACAAGCCCAGTTCATGAAGCCTGGCTTCATAGGTCATGTTCTCTAGACCTTTAATCATTCTTGTCGCTCTTCTCTGTACCCTTTCCAATTTCTCCACATCTTTCTTGAAATGTGGCGCCCAGAACTGGACACAGTACTCCAGCTGAGGCCTAACTAGTGCAGAGTAGAACACCAGATGTTCATGGTGACTTCCCTTTGCTTGGCATTTTCAAGAGCGATTAGTGAAAACTGATGCATGGTAAAATGGTCATTCTTGTGGTCATGACTAAGCATTGGTCCTTTACAACAGCCCTGTGTGCCTGCAGACCGCACGGATGTGTCCCCTCAGCCATCTATCTACAGATATGCCTGTTTACTGTCCACCCATCCTGCCTGGGCATTTATGGAGACCTAGGCTTTATCCTTAATTTTCTACCTAAATCAACCATAATTATTAAGTACACACAAATGCACAGAGCAGCCCATTCTTCTCCGACTCACCCCAGAGCCCAGGAGTTCTCCTCTCCCTTTGGGAAAGTCCCTTAATTGCTGTTTACCCCTCAAGCCTGTTAATTAGC